AAGATAAGATAAGATAAGATAAGATAAGATAAGATAAGATAAGATAAGATAAGATAAGATAAGATAAGATAAGATAAGATAAGATAAGATCACCTTTATTAGTCCCACTCGTGGGAAATTTGTGTTTTGGTACAGCAGAAAGTGGACAGTGCAAAGTTACATAGTAAAAATTAGAAAAACACTGGAATAGCATAAGAGTAAGAATAAGATACTGTACACTGTTAAGTCAAATTGTTGAATGTGTCATTGTGTTTCTTAAATTTGTAAAGTCTTAGTTCAAACTATAGGATCAAGACATTCCTTTGTCCCCCTCCCCAGCCTCTCGAGGTTCTGGGGTGAGGTTGTAGTGTTTTATCACAAGCACATCCCATGTAAAGGTTTGTTTGATGTTTGGTAAGCTTTCTGCCCTTTTTATGGCTTCACTGTGTTGTGTATGGTGAACCAATACAGGAATTGAGCCATGTGTTGGGTGTGGATGTGTGTGTGGGTGTGTGTGTGGGGGGGTTTACCTTTTTATGACCAAGGATGTTGTTAGAAACAGTTGTGATCAGGAGGTCACACAAACGCACCCCCATGACATACACACATTATCACACACATGCTTACACAAACACACACACACACACAGTGCATTGTCTTTGTAACCAAGGGGGGTTGTACGAGGGGAGGTGCTTGTGTACACTATTGTGTATTGTAACTATTTTTCCAATAAAAGGCAGCGAGCGGAGGCTGGAGTCGGGGTCATTTTGTGGTAGGATTCGAAGTGCATTCCTGAGATACCGATGAGGCCTCCCTTGCGCAAGTAAATCGATCAACCGCTGTTGCCTTGTGTTTTTCCTTCATGGGAATAAGTCCCTAGATCAGCGGGGTCTGAGTTTAGACCCAACATACACAACTGTACACATAAAGAATAGAATAAAATATAATACTGTATACAATACAATAAAATAGAATACAAATACTATACTGAGTATGACAACGTTGTCAGAAAAAGAGTATTGCACTTAGTGTTAATGCTATTGCACATGTGTGGATGTGTGTGTTTGGTCAGGTGCAAAGTCTTTGTTGTCTGACAGCAGTGGGGAGGAAACACCTACGAAATCTCTCCGTCCCACACCCTGGGTGTCGCAGCCTGCCACTGAAGGAGCTGCTCAGTGCTGTCACAGTCTGCTGCATGGGGTGGGAGATGTTGTCCAGCAGGGATGACAGCTTAGCCACCATTCTCCTGTCACTCACCACCTCCACTGGATCCAGAGGGCATCCTAGAACAAAGCTGGCCCTTCTGATCAGCCTGTTCAGTCTCTTCCTGTCCCTACCAGAGATGCTGCCACCCCAGCAGACCACACTGTAAAAGATGGCTGAGGCCACCACAGAGTCATAGAAGGTCTTCAGGAGTGGGCCCTTCACTCCAAACGACCTGAGTCTCCGCAGCAGGTACAGCCTACTCTGCCCTTTTCTGTAAAGGGCGTCTGAATTATGAGTCCAGTCCAGTTTATTGTTCAGATAAACACCAAGGTAGCTGTCCACAGCCTCAATGTCCATACCTTGAATGCTTAGTGGTTGCAGGTGAGGATGTTTGTGCCTGTGGAAGTCTACCACCAGCTCCTTGGTTTCACTAGTGTTTATCTGGAGGTAGTTCTGCTGGCACCAGTCCACAAAGTCATGGGTCAGTTCTCTGTATTCCTTGTCATCCCCATCAGTGATGAGGCTGATATAGCAGAGTCATCAGAGAACTGAAAGAAGCACTGGGTGGAGTTGTGGGAGAAGTCTGCCATGTAGATGGCGAAGAGGAACGGAGCCAGAACTGTTCCCTGTGGGGCCCCCGTACTGCAGATGAGCCTGTCCGACAAACAGCCCTGAGTCCTCACATACTGAGGTCGGTCAGGGAGGTAGTCCAGAATCCATGTAGTGAGGTGATGGTCCACTCCTGTGTTGTCCAGCTTGTCCTTCAGGACTGTGAGAAGAATGGTGTTGAAGGCACTGGAGAAATCAAAGAAAATGATTCTCACAGTGCTCCCAGCAGTCTCCGGGTGAGAGAGGGAACAATGTAGGAGGTGAATGACGGCATCATCCACTCCAATGCCAGGCTGTTAGGCAAACAGATGTGGATCCAGTGATGAGCTCACCAGGGGCCGAACCTGAGTCAGGGTCTTAAACAGGTGGGATGTCAGAACCACCGGCCTGTAGCTGTTGAGGTACTTGGGACGTGAAGTCTTTGGCACTGGTACAACACAGGAGGTTTTCCAGAGCTGTGGGACTCTCCCCAGCCTCAGGCTCAGGTTGAAGATGTGCTCCATCACGCCATGCAGTTGATCTGTGCAGGGCCTGACCACCCTTGAGCTGATTCCATCTGGACCCACTGCCTTCTTGGCTTTAATCCTCCTCAGTTCCCTCCTAACCTGGGTGGTTGAGAGAGACAGACTGGAGCCTTGTGTTGAATGTGTATTGGATGCTATTGTTGGGGATGGGGAGGAGTGAGCAGGGTGAATAGAGGAGGTGTGACCAATGATTTATAAAGAAAAATCATTAAAATTATCAGGGGTGCCCAACCTTTTGCATACCACTGTATTTGGAGCTGAAACTGCATTTTTAGAATAACCTTGCAGTATAACAGTAATTATCATAATAGTGATTAATTTGTCTAATCTGTGCTATCTTTGTCTCACATGTATATGTATTGGAGTCACAGTAACTGAAGATAAGGACACTGATGAAGTGACGTTAAACTGCTCTCTGCTGACATATGAGGACTGTCACCACACAGTGAAATGGCTGTTAAATGGTTACAATGTAGACAGAACTAACAACCTAACAGAAAGATCACAGACTGACTGCTTCACCACTGTGTGAAATTCTCACAATTCAAACGTCTCAAGGGACAATATAGTGAAGTGTCAAGGAACTCATACTAACACAAGCAAAGTAGTCTTTACCATCATCCATCAGGCCTCTGGTGAGGAAGCTGGTGAGATTACAATCAGTTGTTGAACATGAATGGCGGGATACAAAGTTTGGATGCAGATTTCTTTTTCTTTTTTTTCACAACAAATGAAAAAACTGCAAAATGTTTTGATTATGATTTTTCATTTATTTAGTTGGGACAAACAAAACAAAGAATCCAGCCAGAAAAACTGTAAGCAGCACAACATCAGTAACAACCACAGCCGTGAAGGATATTTCAAAAGGTAGTCACTCAAACATTCATCCTTTTGTTATGAATTATCGATTTTTTTTTATTAATAATGTTTTTGTACACTTAATTTAGACATGTCAGATTTGATAAATGACAAACCTAAGAACTACATAAAGAGAAAAGTGGTCTCCATCCACTCATCCCCAACTGGTTGCAGCCATCTGGCTCAAGAGTTGGGAGTTTGCCTTGTAATTGGAAGGTTGCCGGTTCGAGCCCCGGCTTGGGCAGTCTCGGTTGTTGTGTCCTTGGGCAAGACACTTCACCCGTTGCCTACTGGTGGTGGTCAGAGGGCCCGGTGGCGCCAGTGTCCGGCAGCCTCGCCTCTGTCAGTGCGCCCCAGGGTGGCTGTGGCTATAATGTAGCTTGCCATCACCAGTGTGTGAATGGGTGGATGACCGCTTGTGTAAAGCGCTTTGGGGTCCTTAGGGACTAGTAAAGCGCTATACGAATACAGGCCATTACCACGATCGAAGTTAAAGTTGTATGATTTTTTTAAATGTAATGAATCAGAACAGTAACAAAGTGCAGCCGTTTCCTTTCAGCCCCCAATTGCCAGGTGAGAATATTAATCTTAATAACACAAAATAACATATCTCACATGTTTTTTGTTATGACTGCTCTAAAGGTAACAGGCTTTGTCTTAAATGCACAAGCTCACCCCCCAATTTGTGTATTTGTTTAGGTTTACCAATGCTGCTGAAGGTCATCTCATCGCATTTTGTATGTGAAGAACACAGACTCACAACATCTCTCCTTCTGCCTTTCCTCTTTCTCTCGCTCCTCTGTTTGTGTGTGGGACAGTATGAGAGATTCATCTTCTGCGTCCCTGCTCCATTTGGCTGCCACATATGTCTCAAATCCCTAATCAGAGCCTTTAAACATTTGATCATAAATTCACTCCTCTTCAGATTGCTGTTAGGTTTGTCTTTAGCATCACTCAGTCTCCATCAAAAAAAAAAATGCTACTTGAGTTCTTTGTTTTTCACTTGATTTTTCCAGTCACTAATTTTAAATGTCCCGGGCCGTCTCCTCGAGACCAAATACTTAGTCTTGGTATCCCTGCCTGCTCTGTTTCTCCATCACTCACCAAACCCAGATGCAAGACCCAATCCCCTCTAGCTTGCACATACTCCCTGATTCCAGTGCTAAAGCCTGCCTCAGAGTCCACCTCTTTGTTTTACCATAATAATTTTCAATATATAATATTTAAAAAATGAAATGTTGATGTTATTTTTTAAGCCATTTTCTGCAATGACTGAGATTGGAATAACACAACAGCAATCATAGTTCAGAGTTGTAACATCTACCTGTCAAAGTTTGAATCGCTGACAGCTAACCGAAATCATCACTCTGTGTTGTCCGGTTTGTAATGATGTATTTTGTTATGGCTAATGATAATATAACTTGATTTGTAAAAGGTTTTCGATCGTGTTTTTTTACATTTGTGTATATTGTGTGAGACTAGGGTCAGTGGGGGTCTGAAAACAGTAAAACAGTACGCTGGTGTTTTAGCTTCACTGGCGTTGGATGAACTCCTGATGTTGATACAGATGTTGCTTCTCGCTGCCAACAGACCAGGAAATAAACGCTGTGAATATTTCATCTTTAAGTCTACTGCTGCATATTTAGATGTGAAGAATCAGAGATTTTGAATTGGTGATATTCCCACTCATTAAACTGCTGCAAGAGTGCTAAAGGACATTAAAGGCAACTGCGCCGATGCCTGTTCAGAAATGTCTGGACCCATGGCACATTTGTCTAACCCTCACGAGTTAATCTGGAACACCAGGAGCAGGCTGTTTCTGCTGGCATTTTTAACTCTCACAGCCCACTCAGCTGATAGTGGGCAAGATTTTTATAAAGAAGCCACTTGTTTCAAAAAATAAAAAAAAAATACAACAACATAAATGTGTGAAAAATAGTGGACATAAAGACTTGAGTGGGAAAGTTTGGTGGCAAACATGATCACGAAGATGGTCTGTTTTCTCAGAATAAGCAAAGACTAATAGCCTTCACACCTTTAACCTCCTTTTCCTTTGTTTGATATTTAAATGAAAAGAGAGGGAAGCTTACTAAATTCATTCAGTAAGTGACCTCACTATGATATCACTATGTGATAATTCATTTTAAAGGTAACAACACAAAACATATTATAAATGAACAACCTACCCACTAATGTTACATCATTCATCCTCTAACTGAGGAAGGCATGTTTTGCAACTTGAGTTTTGCTGACCTTGGAAACCAGAGGTGAGCATCCTGTAGACTACAAAACAATTTTTTCTGTCCCTCTGAGTGTGTGTGTTTGTACATGTGCACGCTCTCCCTCATGTTGGTTGTCTTTGGAAATTCTGTAAAAAGCTTACCTCTCGCACACATTAGTCACTTAAGTAGAAGCACAGATACTTGTGTAAAAAAACAACAACAACTCCACACGGATGAATAATGACTCAACTTCTTTAACTAAGTAAAAGTAAAAAGGTGAATCAGGAGTTTGACACTTCAACTGTTTGTTCCTATGTGATGTTTGTTTTCTAAAACTCTTGACACATTCAACTTCCTCAGTCATTTTTTTAATATAATGTCAAACACATAACTGTCACCAATGCATTGTAGGGATGCACCTCCTGAGGTCATTTGCTAAAGTTGTGATGAGGAAGTGATATCTGATGAATAACGGGAAGTACAAACAGTCTTGAAGAGTCATCAGCTCAGAGACGGTTGAGAACAAGAAAGAAGTGAGACAGAGAAGCACGATGGATGAGCTCAGATGGAGTAAAATGTTTTTATGTCTGATATCAATCATTCAGATTGCAGGTAAGAATACAGGAAACATTTTAATAGCAGTAAAATTAAATATTACAATCCAAACCTTTATCATAAACCTTTGTCTAAAATGATCTTCACTCTGACTGTGAAAAGTGTTGTATTCTAATCTAGTTTTCATATTTCTTTTCAGAATTCTCAACAGTATCTGCAAATGAAACCACCATTTTTATGAAAGTTGGAGATGACGTCACTCTGCCTTGTATAAATGTGATAGATGAGCAGAATAACTGTGATGGGACTACGTGGACCTTTGCTTCAAGAAACAGAACACCAATAGAAGTGATCAGCTTTGGACAGCTTGGTGAAAAAGCCAAAAATGCATCAGACAGACTGAGTGTTACAGCAAACTGTTCTCTGCTTATAAAGACTCTCACAGTCGACGATGTAGGTTTTTACTACTGTAAACAATACAGATACCTTCAAAAGCACAGACACAAACGTCTGGTTAGCGAGTCTTTGGTTGATCTCTCTGTACTCACCTGTGAGTATTTTACATTATATTTTCAGGCGGACGATTTTTAGAACAATAATGACAGCAGTAATTAATTTTTTGAATTTGTGGTGTCTTTGTTTCATGTTATCTCCATCAGTGACTGAACATGAGGACAATGATAAGGTGACAATAAATTGCTCTGTGGTGACATATGAAAAGTGTCATCACACAGTGAGGTGCCTGTTTAAAGGTCGAGCTGTGGACAGAGATAACAATCAAATAGTGACTTTACAGACTGGCTGCTCCACCACTGTCTCTTTACTCAAGTCTCACCATGTTTACTCATCAAGAGATTACCTTTTGGACTGCGAAGTGAATGATGCTCATACAGAAGGGAAGCTGTTTACCTTCAGCCCTCAGCTATCAGGTGAGAAAACAGGAGACAAAATAATCAACTGTTTAAGATGATTGAACCCACCCAAAACATTTATTTGTTTGCTTTTATATTTATGCTGATTTTTTTTTTTTTAAACAACAGATGAAAACATGTTGGTTGTGTCTTTTTCATTTTATTTCAGGTGACAGACAAAGGACAAATAATCCAACCAGAAAAAATGCAGCAGGCTACAGTCAGTCCAATACCCAAGGTATTTATTCAGTAATGTACTTTTTACTTGCATGCATGGGTATACAGTCACATGAAAAAGAACGTTTTCACAGAGCTCGATTCAGTCCTGTGAAAACTGCATAAACCCCATGATTCAATATCTTACAGAGTCAACTTTTGCAGCACTAACTTGAAGTAATAGTCTTCTATATCAGTCTATCATAATAGAAGCGGTTTTCTCCTGGCAGCCCTTCCAAAGAAACCATTCTTGCTCAGTCTTTTTGACTTTTTGATATGACTTTGGTGGAATTAGACCAATGCTGGTAAGGTTGTTGCTGTATGTATATACACCTACCCGAGAGCTTCAGACCTGTAAACTGTCAAAGTTTCTTCTTTTATAGAAATGCCCACTCTTGATGATCAGTTAAGTCCATTTGATTAGTAGCATCTGACTCCAAGTTGCTCTCTTAATTCCTATGGAACGATTAAGGATGTATTTAGTTTGTGCTTAGGACTTTATGCATGATGTATTTATTTTATTTTTATTTTACATGTTTTAAGGTATGTGTTCAAACTGATTTAAATAAAAGAAATAGCCAAATACCTTCAGAAACAACATGTGTCTGTAAGTAAAATAACACGTCTGAACTAAAATCTCCTTACTGTTTTTCTTCCATACATCTGAAACGCAGTGACAATGATTCACATTGTGCTTTTGTGTGTTTCTGTTTTTGCTATGGTAACAGTGTCACAGTTTAAAATAGAACACAATGTTAGGCATATTTTGTGTGTCATGTAGACTTAGTTTAAGATACATAGAAAGTTTTTTAAATGTTTGAAAAAAGATTCACTGAAAATGGTTTTAAGTTTGTTTTTTGGGTTTGTTTTAGCTATCCATTGGTACGTCGTTGCAGCTGTGGGTTTTGTCTTGCTCTTGATAACAGCTGCATCTGTTATCAGATGGAGAAAAACAAAAGGTAAAAACATCAAAAGTTAAAACACATGCTTTTAACATTAAATGTTACAGTTAATTGTTTTTGTCTTTCCAGCAAACAAAACACAGACGGATGAAGATACTGTGAGTTTTTGTTTTTTTTAAACCAATATATATATATATAATTTTTTTTTAAATGGTTGTAGGAAATAAGAATAACAAATAAACACCAAATCAGCTTATCTCTGAGGAGTGTTAACAAGAACTAAACTGTCTTTATAAAGGACAGTTTTCCAACAGATGTAACTGTCTATTTTCCAGGGACTGAGTTTGAACTCTACAGAGACTCAGACTGCTACTTAAAAAAGTCCCAGCATGGGAAATCCCACACCACACCCACAGTACAGTCAGAGCACAGTTAAAACCACTTCTTCTTCTATGTGCTTGTTAAGTGCATGCGACTCAATGAGATCTTATAAAAGATAAGGAAGTTAGACTGAACAACAGTGGGACAGACCATGAGTTGTAAAACCTGAGGTTAGAGGTCAAAACATGTAAACTTTTTGAGATATTTTGCTCTTCGCTGTGTAGGTAGATCATGAAGTTTCCTATGCCACCGTCAGCTACAGAAAGAAAGCCAAGAATAAAGCCCAGGTAACGTGTCTTTCATAGATGCTTATGTTGTATACTAATATATTAATAGGTAATGTGTGCAAGCTGAGATTACAATTCATACTTACCTTTAAAATTTGTTGAGCTCTATCTCTCTTATTTTAACAGAGTGTTAATTTATGTTTATTTATGTATCCGACAATTCTCTTTGTTTTCAGGTTCAGGGTGATGATGAAGGTGATGCAGTGATCTACAGTGTTTTGATGGTTTCTTCATCTCCTGCAGCCACTGTCAACCCCAGTAACCCACAATAAAAAAGAAAATAGAGAAAATAGCAAAAGGATTTGACCTTTTTTAAAAAAAAAAAAAAAAAATGTAAATGGATGTGTGATTAGAGACTTCATGCTGTTGAATGGCAAGCATAAAACTATTATAGCAAATGCTGGGAGTCAATCGAGAATCAAGGCCATCTTTGGGTCATTCCCACTATTCAGTGTCATTTCGAGATAGTAACATTGCAAAAAGTACATTTCTAATTATCCATAATGTTATAATGTGATCTGAAAGAATGCCTGTTAAACTTTTAGAGAAATATACCGGTCAAGCTCAGAATATTAATACATTTTTCCAGGTTTTCCACATGTGGTGCAGGCCAAACATCCCACCTGTTATGGTACAATCTTATCTCTGTTACTGCGTTATTAATGTACAATCACTTTTCTATTTACATTTCCTAAGAGCTAAAATGTCCCTGTGTTTACTCTGCAAATGTATTTCAGGGGAGTGCTAATAAAAAAGTATTATCAAGAAAAGGCACAATTATTTTGAAGCATGGTATAATTTCACTTAATTAGATTAGATTAGATTAGATTAAAAATGAATTTTAATGAAAACTTGTCCAATTTTGCAATTATTCCATTTGTCAAATTTATTACCTTCAATAACCACACAGATGTTTATCTTACGTTTTTTTAATTACTTAATTTTGAAAAAACAAACACATGTAACAGGTAGACAGAACATCGCAGGGTGACTTCACACCCATGAAAGCTTGTACCCGTAAATTTTCAAGAAAGGCTCGTTATTTTTGGTGTAAGACATTTGAGGAGAAATTATTTCTTCACTGTCCATCTCCAAACCACAATTTGAACGTATACAGAGATAATCATAATGTACGATTTGTTGTTGGTGCATTTTTTACGCAGACGACATAGAGATGAGATTAAAGAGAGCAAAAAAAAAAAAAAAATGATATGAAACGTTTGAGCTGCAAAAATGTTAGCTTGTGCCGCTGTCATTTTAAAGGTAATAATAAAAAATATGCTTCTAGAGGCCATCAGAGGTCACGCTGGATCACCAAAGTCCAACAGTTTTGCTGCCTCTGATTCTCTCCACACATGGGCTGCAGTCTGCCTTCACAAAGTTCTTTTGTTACGTGTGCCCACAGATTTCCGAACATGGCTATCTTAGGAAAACCAGTGTGCATGGATTCATCCATATTTGCCATCACACACTTAAGCACCATTGGCAGTGAATTTCAGGTTCTGGTTCAGGCCACAACACGTTTTACAAAAGCCTCTGATTTTTATGAAACAAGATAATGTTGTGGGATTCACGTTGGCTCGTTTAGAAATGTGCATGTACTTTTAACCTGTTTCCAGATTCCCTGGTTTACTACATGAGTCCATCTACCTGGCTTCAAAATGGTGTAGTCCCTTTTTTGTGAAAAAAATCTTTTTGTATGTGACTTGATCTGGAACCATATGTATCCACTGTTCAAATAGGAGCTCAACATTGAAAGTGTTGCAGTCTTTGTTTTGAAAAGGAGAACTACTTGGTTCAAAAGCACTGACATTGGCACTGCTGCTGTGTCATCTTTTCACCAAGTTGTTTGCACAGATTTCCCCATATGTCATCACTTTAAGATAAGATAAGATAAGATAAGATAAGATAAGATAAGATAAGATAAGATAAGATAAGATAAGATAAGATAAGATAAGATAAGATATCTTTATTAGTCCCACGAGTGGGAAATTTCATGTTAAGGCTGCCGACCAATTGCACGCAATGGCGGCGCCATCATACCCTCCGACCATACATAATCTCAATCTGGTCTCTCAATCTCCCGTTGGAGAGCCACGAGCTTCTCCATGATGTTATCAAACTTACGCTCCGTGATGTTGTCATTCTTGTGCTCAAAGAGCCGATTCTGAGAACTCACGACCACAGTGAGCTTCTCCAAGATGTAATCCAATTTGCGCTCAGAGGTGTTATTCTGAGTGATCACGTCAGCCGCAAGCTTCTCCAAGATCTTATCCGTGCTGCACTTAATGAGCCCATTTTAAGAACTCATGCCCTCATCCCATCGTTTCAATCCCAGTTAGCAACATCCCCCAAAACCCGAAGAGGAGAGTCCTGGCCCCTAGCCCTGCCAGTGTAGCAGAAATGATGACGGATGATGATGCAGCAGCAGCCGTTCTTCTCTGCGTGAGTAGCTTAATGTTGTTCCATGTGTAATTTACGTTGAGTAGGCTAACCACGTTATTACAATTAATGCACTGTAAGGTGAACTAGCAAACACCGTCGTAGTTACATGCGGCTGTCTTCTTGTTTGATGGCAGATACTCCCTTCACCCTGGCCAAAAAGGCTAAAATGACCAAAGAAAAAGTGGAAAACATAAACATGAGAGGTTTTTGGACAAAGTTTGTGTTTTTTCCATTGATTAAGCACTGCTTCCAGCCAAGAGTGATACCAAATATCCCCTATAGCTGCAGAAAAGGCTAACATTGTTATCTTTTTACAAAAAAACAGCTAAACATGAGAGGTTTTTGGACAAAGTGTGTGTTCTCCATTCTTTAAGCACCGGTTCGAGCACCGTTTAAGCACCGGCACCGTTTCAAAAGTACCGATTTGGTAGTAAAACCTAAACGATACCCATCCCTAATCTTCAGCGTCTTCGATCGACAGCCCCGCCAGGCATAAGACCCTCCAATTCTGCCACCCGTCCATATCCGGCAGGGAAAGTACCTCCAGGACACTCAGGCTCACCCGAGCCCAGACTTCTCATTGAGAAAAGGGTGTCAATTGCATTCAGGGACAAGTTGATCAAATCCATAATTCCTCTTTTAGGTTTTAGAGAACGACTGTGAAAGAGTGTTCCAGGCAAAAGTAATACATTACTTAGATGAAGAGAAGTTGTTTTTTTCCTTTGCAGTAATCTTTCCAATAATAATACATATGCACTAACCTCATGCTTGCGGTTAACAATAGCCTAAAGACACAAAACCAAGTTTAGTTTTTTTACCTGAAGTTTACATTTTTTTAAGGTTGGCGTTTATTTTGTTTCTTTTTTAATAATTATATTGATTCTATTGATTGTTTGCCAAGCACTGAGGTCTCTGCTTAGACTGTGCTACTGGGATCACTGATATAAAAATGAGGCAAAAGCACCAAAGTTGTGCTCAAAAACAGTACAGTGAGCTACAACCTGTTGCTGTAATAACTCTAACACTCTTGTTGTTTTTTAAATACATACGTATACGGTTTTCCAAACCTAATTATATAAAAAAAAAAATTCAAAAACATCACCTTAACACCCAAATATACGTAATTCAAAACTTACTTTAATTATTACCCATTTGGCTGGTAACATGGACCCAGTCTGATGAATAGTTACTGAATATTGCTGCTGGAGTCTCAGCCATTGACTGTATGTAAGTTAAATAATAATAATAATAATAATAATAATAATGGATTGCATTTATATAGTGCTTTTTGGGGCGCTCAAAGCGCTTTACAATGCCACTATTCATTCAGTCTCACATTCACACACTAGTGGAGGCAGCTACAGTTGTAGCCACAGCTGCCCTGGGGCAGACTAACAGAAGCGAGGCTGCCATATCGCGCCATCGGCCAGCCGGGGCTCGAACCGGCAACCTTCCGGTTACAAGACGAACTGCCAACTCTTTGAGATACAGTCTTTTTTTTAAAGGCTGCAGTCAAAGCAAATCATTGTAAAAACAAGACAAGTCAATAAAAAATAACCAATAAATATAATACTAAACTACATCTAGCCAGGTGGAAGGTCGATATTATGGGACATGCCACTGGATGGCGCTGTTTCTGTTGGGGTACCTCTGAGAGCGCAGGGGATCATGGGGATGCTAGCTTGCATTGGTTTTATGTGGGTGTGCAATGGCTTTTTTCGCTGCATTATCTGTTTTAAATGCAAAGTGTGCAACAGTTAAGGCACCAGGAGTTGCTGCAACCAACTTCATCTCAGAGGGATCTATATTCCGTTTTCTGCTGGATTAATGCACTGTATGTATTTGAGTTCACACTTGTTCACACTTGGAAAATGTTGTATAATGTTGTATATTAGCATATATGGTGTTTCTTTGACTTCGTATTGTTGACAGTAATAAAAACCAACATCCTCGACTGTGAGCTTCTTTATCAGCAGAGAACAGTTCACTGTAACTCTCAGTCTGTCTGATTGAGTTTTGGCTTTTTCACCAATCTGTCCAAGTGTGATCAGCTCTACTGTTGTTGGTTTGTTTCTTGAAGCAAACGTCCACGTAGTCCCATCACAGTTATTCTGCTCATCTATCACATTTACACAAGGCAGAGTGACGTCATCTCCAACTTTCATAAACATGGATGTTTCATTTACAGATACTGTTGAGAAGACTAAAGAGAAATAGGAAAAATAAATTAGAATACAGCAGTTTTTACAGTCAGAGTGAAGATCATTTCAGACACAGGTTTATAAACAGAGCACGATCAGCTGTCTTATTTACTGTAAAGGTTATTGACTGTAATGATATTGATAATATTTAGTTTTGTTGCTATTAAATGTTTCCTGTATTCTTACCTGCGATCTGAATCATCAGCATCAGACATGAAAACATTTGAATCCATCTGAATTCATCCATCGTGCTTCTCTGTCTCACTTCTTTCTTGTTCTCGATCTCGACTGTCACACCCTCTGAACTGATGACTCTGTAAGACTGTTTGTACTTCCTGTTATTTGTCAGTCGTCACATCGTCACTGCAACTTTAGTAATTATCAGTTCTTTCCCTTTTTTGTTGATGTTTATGTTTCATAGAGAGGTTCATCAGCTATTTACATCTCTGATATTCATGAATGCATTTTTAAAAAAGACAAACTATTGTAAAGAGAAATGATGAGAAGACTCAGCAGGTGAGCATTGTGTCTATTTGTGTCAATGACGTGTTTGACACCATGAAAATAAAAAGATGACTGACGACGATGAATGTGTGAAGATTGTTAGTAAAGATAAATGTTTCCATCCTTTGTTTTAACAGAGCTTGTTAGAAAACAGACAGCACATAAGAACAAACAGTCGAAGCATCAAACTCCTACATGCAGGCTGATGTCTAAGAGATAACAGAGAGACAAAGACTGATTACTTATCAGCAGATAGAGACTTATCTGCTGTATTTTCTATAGCAGATAAGATATTTAAGTAGACTGAGACCCTCCTCTTCCTCATTGTTAACATGAAGTCATTTCTTTCTGAGAGCTGAAGATAAAGTGTTTTTGTGAGAATGTGTGAGCTGCAGCAACAACAGAGCTCTGGAGGTTTGAGTCTGTAATAATGACCAGATAAACATCAGAAACACAAACGAATAAAACAGTGATGAAGCCTCTGAGCCTCTCTCTCCACCCAACTACCTTTTCTCTCACCTCGAGCATTTATTTATTTTATTTCTTAAGTTTAATGTTTAAAAATCACTTATTGTACATCTATGTTAGAGATCAGAAT